CTTCATCTCTAACAGTTCCATTTGATTCTTTTGTAAAGTGTATAATTCCTCTTACAGATCTTGCAAGAATTTCCTCACCTCCTGGAACTCGTCAGCTCCTTTCTCCTTTCTCTTCAGTTCATTGTCTCTCTTCTCTTCCATCTCTGTTAGCTTTGCCATTATGAGTGTTCTAAATTCTTTATCAGACATTTCCATGATTTCCGAGTTATTCAATGTGGATGAAGAGGAGTTATTCCTTTCCCTTGGAGAAGAGGTATTTTCTTGCTTTCCCATATTTCTTGTGGCCCAATGGTGATTTCTAATCATCTGATGATGGTGTGTTTCTTCCCACATTTGAAGTTCAATCTGAGTGTCCAGGAGCATGCAGAAAAGGAAACACAGAGAGAGAAAAAAAACAGCAACAAAAACAACCAAGAAACAGAGAAAAAGAGAAGAAAAAACTAAAAAGAAAAATATTATTACTATTTAAAAAGCAAAAATTAGAAAAATCACTAGTTCTCTGGAGCCATAAAGGTGTCTTCTGAAGTCCTGCTCCCTTGTGTCTCCTGGGTTGGGAGGGGGAGAGGGGATTATTAACAAGATAAAGGGAAAGGAGAGGCTGAAAGCCCAGAAAACACTTTACTTTAAAACAATTTTTAAAGGAAAAATTACAAAAAAAAAAAAATAGAAGACAGAGACAGAAGGAGAGAGACAGAGACAGAGACAGGAGGCTTGAAAGTCTTCCTACCACTTGGGTTTGTGGGCTGAAGGCTGAATTATCAGTGGGAAATCTTCATTTTGCTTATTCCCCTGAAATCACTAGTTCTCAGGAGCCATGAAGGTGTCTTCTGAAGTCCTGCTCCCTTGCCTCTCCACTCAAGTTTGTGGCCTGGAGGCTAAATTATCAGTGGAAAATCTTCATTTTGCTTATTCCCTTGAAATCACTAGTTCTCAGGAGCCATGAAGGTGTCTTCTAAAGTCCTGCTCCCATGCCTCTCCTCTTGTCGTTACTTCTAAAGTATCATTATCACTTAAGATTTTCTACTGGGTCTTACTATTTAAAATTCTAATAAAGAAGTACATATATTATTATAGTACAATTTAAAAATATTTTGAGAACTGTATTCTAATATAACTGGTATCCTTTGCAAACCAATGTATTTTATTTTATTATCTCTTTTTCTTTTTGGGGGGGAGGGGCTGATAGGCTTCCCAGACTACCAAAAGGATCCATGACCCAACGTGTTTAATAGACCTGGCCCTAGAAGGTTATCATAAAGGATGTTCCAAATTATTTTCCATTCTCATGATTAGAAATATTCAAGTTACAAGCCCTGCTCTTGCATGACCTGATAAAACAACACTTGCAAGTTCCATGAGGTCTTGGACCCTACTTGATTTTTCCTTTACAGAAGACACTGCTGTCTGACTTAATCAGAAGCCTAGTCCTACAGACAGGACATTGTGTTGGCTTTTGAGTGACCCTTTCTGGCAAGGAGTGGGTTGTAGATTGAATTGTGTCCTCCAAACATACATGTTGAAATTCTAACACCTGGCACAGGTGAATACTACATTTTTTGGAAATAGGGACTTGGCAGAGGTAATCAAGTTAAAATGAGGTCAAATTGCAGTACAATAGAGGGACCCTTAATCCAGTATGACTGATATGTTTATAAGGAGAGGAGAAAAGATTTCAGAGAGAGAATAATGTCACGAGACAACAGTCAGAGGTTGGGGTGGTGCAGTTGCAAGCCAAGGAATGCCAAGGATTGCCAGTACCAACTAGAAGTGAGGAGAGGCAAGGAAAGGGTTCTATTCAGAGTCTCAGAGAAGAGACCCTGGCCCTGCACACACCTTGGTTACAGACTTCTAGCCTCCAGAACTGTGAGAGAATCAATTTCTGTTGTTTCAAGCCATTGAGATTGCAGAACATTGTTACTACAGCCCTAGGAAATGAATCCAGGCTGTCTCAGAGTCCCAGTAAAGGGAGAGAGGGTGCGGGGACCCTACTGAGGTCACAAAACTGGTTGTGTGGCTTTTGGAATCCAGTTGCTAATAAGGCTTGTACACGTGGCAGAATTCAATCTGAGACAAACACTGATTGTGATATACCATCTGGTTGTGAGGTTGTAGGGAAGGAAATAAATAACTCTCACCCACTTCCAACTGGCAGAGCCTAGAGATACTCAAAATAGCAGTACGTTTGTTGGGCCTAGAGATTGGCTGAGCTTCGTTCAAAACAGAAGGCCTCTCTCCCTTTCTGTGTTACACTTGGCTAAAGCTGCCTTCATCTCACAAATACTTCAAGTAAAATGGTCTCCTTACATTTTTACTCATTGCTCCTTCTTTCCCTGGAGCTCAAACTCACATTCAGGGGAGGAGGCTGAGTGGAGAGAAAATTAACAAATCTGTGCCA